ACTTGAAAATGAGTTCTTTTCTAGAGGGGAGACTAGTGCAGTTTGAACCACCCCTATGTTGTTCAAAATGTTGAAAAAGTAGAATATTAGCCCATAGTGCTCAATATTATGCCTAAAGGATGAAGATGTAAAAAGGTGGTCTAAAAGACTTATTAACCTCCATAAATCACAAACATATTGGTACAAGCTTTACCAAGTCATCTAGAGTCTATTTTTTTCTAATTATCCTAAAATCCATTTTAATTATATTTAGATTCTATTTAGCCTAGGATCTATTTTTATTCTATTCAAAGTTTGTGTCAATTTTAAATTTAATTTTTTAGAGGGTACCTAAACTCATTCTAGTCTTGTATAAAGGCCCTCTAGCCCAAATATATTCAATTGATATATTTTGTGTTTTTCTCTTGTGAGGTCTTCTTCTCCATCTATTTGTAGATTCAAGGACCTCTCGTAGATTCATGGGTTTTCTTGTTGATCTTGTGGATTGAGGATTGTCCCCCTTGTGGATTCAAGGGTTGAAGTTTTAATTCTATGGATTCAAAACATAAGAGCTTCTTAAAAGTTTAAGTTTGTAGATTGAATTATAATTCTTTCCATCTTCTGAAGCAATGTTATCTCAATGTAAATCCTTTCATATTTGATTTTGATGTAAATTAGTATAAATCAATGTAGAATATGTTGTCAAGAAATGCTTTTTTTAAAGTAAGATTTGATCAATTTTGAAGAATGTATTAATATAAGATTTGAAGATAATATGAGTTTAAAGCAACTCTTAGGGTAAATGACTAACATAAAGGTCATTCACATATTCAAAAGGATCTTGATTTCAGGTCTACTTCAAAGACCATCTCTAGTGATACTACTTTAGAAAATTATTCTATATTTATTTCTAGAAGTGATAGAAATATATATGATGGTATGGCTCTAGAGACTTTTGTGTGAAAATAGATTTACCATGTTCTATTGGTTATCTACGGATTACATAATTTTTATACTAATTGACTGAAAATTTGAACTTTTTTCAAACATATGCAGATTTAAGATGAAAAATAATTGAAGTTACATAATTAAAGGGAGTACCTTATGCTTGGTGGTAGTAGTTGGAATCCACTTGTGCCATGTTTGAAAAAGAACTTGTTCGTACATGGGACAAACTAAAAGAAATCTTTTGAATCTCATTTATTAATTACCTTTAGATTTTGATTAGTTTCTAAATCAACAATATTTAAGTCATAAACAAGGAAACCGGTATGTTTCTAAATATGTTGAAGAAATTTATTATTTGTCTCCACAAGCTGATTTGACCAAATCTAAGTCATATATGATTTCAAAATTGAAAAGTGATCTTAGAAGAGATATGAAAGAAAAAAGTAGCCTTAAAATTATTTTGTGGTGATGAGTTCAGAATGTGGAGAATCACAATTGAAGATAAGATAAACAAAGTTGTGAAACTCTAGTAATCAAATTTTGCAAGACAAGACTACCTACTGCCAACCATAGGATGGGGAACATCAGTTTCAACTAGACCTACCAGAGCAGTACCTATTGAGTGAATTTATTTTGTCAAAAATTCTAAGACTCTTAGCATCACTTCAAAGTACTACGTGTATAGAAGAGGGACATAAATCTAATATTAGTCTAAACCAAGGTTCAGTGAGTTTTACATATTTGATTGAAGAAGAAGAAAATGAAGAGTATTAAGACCAAGCTAAGCTTGAAGATAATTTGTTCAAATCTGTTATTAGAGATGCCCTATCACATTTTCCTGTAGTGAGAAAATTGATGTACACATAGAGGAAATAAGAAGATCCACAATGTCACATTGTCTTCAGATCAAGATTTTTAGTAAGAGTGAAAATACTTCAATGAAATCACATTTCAAAAGGATTCAAGAATATGATTTTGATTATTTTCAGCTTGATCAAATCTTTTTTTCATCAAGTTTTGCACCATATGGAGGTAGGAAGACATTGCACGGAAAGCTTCGTCTTTGAAGAGCAGACACGCACATCTTTTTGTGTCTTCTTTTTGGTTTATGCTTTCTTTTATAATGTACAACAATATTTATCCATCTCATGCAATGAAACTCTAACGTTTTTTCTATATCATGGATTAACTTATTAATATTTTGATGATTTATAGAGAAATTTAGGTGAAATCAGCTCTACTTTAAATCATTAAATTGATGTCATCAGATCTTTGATCATAAGTTGAGATCTTTGAATGAATTGATTAAATGAGATTAATCTATTTGTGTGAAGATTTGACATAAAGAAAAATTAGACGTACCAAATTAGGGTTTGAAATAGCTCATGGAAATATGAATCATTTATTTTAATATAACTTGTACATGATTAAAATGTTATGCCTATTATTTCAAGCGTGGCCCATTATAAGCTTTGGTCGGAGGGCACTTAAGGTAGTCGTAATGGGAAGGGATTCTAGTTCTACCTGAAATGAGAAATATGCCATTTAAAGATAAAGTGAGTTGCATCAGCCCAAAAGCAAAATAGGCCCTTTTTACTGATCCCTTTAAAAATGGCGGCCCAGCCCATTTTACCCAAACTAGGAAAAGGGGCATTTCGCCCAAATTAAGATGGTGAGATTTCTAACCAGATTTTAAGAAGACGACAGCCTTCTCTCTTCCCCATCCCTTTCCATCTTGTCCTCTTCGCGTGTACAACTGATCAAGGGTGAAATAAAATAGTAAGAGCTGCAATCTAAACAAAAATAAAAAAAGAACACACGGTTCATTCTGTATCCACCATCCACCTCCATCTCTGTACTTCAACAAATCAATAAAGCTGTGCACGTGAAGAAAAATCTTATGTATTTCCTCCATCGGCTCAACACCTCCTAGGTACTTCAACAATTTTTGGTGGCACCATCATGATTTTGAAGGTGATGATAACTTTTTCCAAATCTGTTCGATCCTGTTGGGATTTGATTTAAATTGTGAGAAGCTTGGGGCACTTTTTGTGTACTGATAATGTGGTTACCTAAATCATTGAGTCACTCGTGGTGTGATTGCAATGAGGTAGACCTAAAATGACCAAATTCTAGGATTTTAGATGGGGTTGTCACAAGCTCATAAACTTTGGAGATGGAAAGGGTTATTGATCACATAAAATTGAGGTATATTCAAAGTACTAAAAAAAGTAGCACTGTGGTAAATTCCTTACGAGTAGAAATAGGTTGAACAAGTTTGGTGAAACCATTATAAAATATTGCATCTCCAAGTGTTTTATACGAGAACATATTTAAAGCTTAAGAAATATAAAATTAAATTGACTCTTATTTTATATATTATTTTAATTTTAAATACATCAAATAATATAAGCAGACAAAAATTAGGAACCAATTCAACTTCATTTTTCTAGTTAAACAACCGAATATAAACATTGTTTTTGGGTTCTCTTCATGTTTATAGATTCTTGTAAAGTTTAATTTTTGGAGAGTAGCTCTTCCTAGTGAAGTAGAATGTTCCCTGAACACTTCTTGGGTGATTCTTCTTATATTTTCTTGAGTGAGGTATTCTCCTCACTCAGTTGGTTTATACATTCCTACCAAGGGACATGTGTCAAGCGTGTCAACAAACTCATTATGCATTCGTAGCTTTACAACAACATTTTACACAGCGTCGGCAGTCCTAACACATTTATAAAGCATCTCATGTTCATAGGCGAGCTTGAAAATTCAAGGACCTATTTATTTAAAGAGACGTCCACAATGTCTCAATTCTCTGGTTTTGCAAGTTTGAAGAACTTGCCCAGAAACAGCCTCGCCACTTTCACTAGGCCAGGAAGCAAGCCTACATAGAGGGGTCGACACGAAGCCATACATCAGCAATAGCAGCTTGTGCGTCCCGCTTATCCTCTGCCGTCTTGTGCCTGATCCTGTTTTCCTTTCTTGGACAGGCCCATGGGGAGAGCACCTTCGCAACAGTCGAAGTTACAAGCCTGGTACCCTCCACCAGTTGCTCACCGTCCAAGGGTTGACCCCCTCAATTAGCTTCAACCCGAAGCCAGTAGGATTTTTATAAAAACTCTCATGCGGGTCGGCGACGTTGGAAATTCAAAGACTAATTTAAACAGACGTCAATAATGTCTCACCCCACTGGCTTTTCAAGTCTAAAAAAGTGGCCCAGAAACGGACTGGTCACTTCCACAATGTCCATACCGTCATAGAAACGTCATATTGACGGGATAATTCATGCTGGTACGTTGCTCTGACCTCAGCAAGTTGTCTTCAGGAAGCAAGCCAACATAGAGCGTCCTATATAATATAGGGGTCTACACGAAGCCATACATCATCATCAATAGCCGCTTGTGCGTCCCTCTTATCCTTTGCCATCTTGTGCCTGATCCTATTCTCCATTCTTGGAGAAGCCCATGGGGAGAGCACCTACGCAGTAGTCAAAGTTACAAGCCCGGTACCCTCCGCCAGTTGCTCCCCATCCAAGGGTTGATCCCCTCAACCTGCTTCAGGCTGAAGCCGGTAGGATTTTAAAAAAAATGGTGAGGAAAGAACGAACGGGAACCTACCACCAGGTCGACAGCGCAATTCAAGGACTAGTTTAAACAGATGTCAACAATGTCTCAACACGCTAGCCTTTCAAGCCTCTCAACACGCAATTCAAGTCTAGAAAACTGGCCCAGAAACGAACTTGTCGCGTTCATTATTCTCAAGCCGTCATGAAAACCTCATATTTGGGGATGAGTATCGCAGTGTAGGAATTAAGCCTATATAGAGTCTTCTCTCCCAGCGAGGTCGACACAAAGCCATACCACAACAATGGTAGCGTGTTCGTCCCTCTTGTCCTCTGCCCTGTTGTGTCTGATCCTGTTCTCCTTTGTTAGTCAGGTCCATGGGGAGAGTACCTTCGCAACCGTCAACGTTGCGAGCCTGGTGCCTTCTGGCAATTGTTCCTCGTCCAAAGGTTGAACGCTATTTCTGCTGGTTTCCGTCTAAAGTTAATAAATATAAAGAAAAGTCTCATTATGAGCCTGACCTATGCGTCTGTTGCAGCCCCCAGCCACAGCGCTCTACAGGTAGTCCACCGCAACGGTCCTTGCGCGGCCAAGTCTGTCAGCAAACTCACCCAGCTTGAAGTCCTTGTCCAGGATTCCCTGCGAGTCGCTTCACTGCAGGAAAAAGTTTCCGGCGTCTCACGTGGAAACAATACACTGCTTCTAGGAAGCCAGATCTCCATTCCGGCGAGGAGTGGCCTGTACCTCGGCACCGGTAATTACGTCATTACGGTCGGCTTTGGCACCCCAACGAAGGCCCAGACTGTCATCTTCGATACCGGCAGCGACGTGAACTGGATCCAATGCAAGCCGTGCGCTGTAAGCTGCTACTCGCAGCAGGAGCCGTTGTTCGATCCCGCACTCTCGTCTACCTACCGTACCTTCACCTGCACCGCTCCCGCGTGCCTCCGACTTGGAAAGAGAGGTTGCTCGGGCACCACCTGCGTCTATGGGGTGACCTATGGCGACGGATCCTCCACCCTTGGATTCCTCGCCAGGGATACCTTGACTCTGACGTCCACCAACGTGTTCAGCAACTTCATATTTGGGTGCGGCCAGGACAACAAAGGGTTGTTTAGGGGTGCCGCCGGGCTGATCGGGCTCGGACGCAGTCTCTACTCGCTGAATTCACAGGTGGCCAACAGCCTGGGCGATATATTCTCCTACTGTCTCCCTTCCACTAGCAGTTCCACCGGCTACTTCAACATCGGCAATCCGCTGGGAAGTACCGTTTTTTACACGCCGATGCTGACCAGTTCACTTGCTCCCAGCCTCTACTTTATTGACCTCATTGGAATTACCGTAGGGGAGATACAGCTTCCATTGTCGCCGACCGTCTTTCAATCTGTCGGGACAATCATAGACTCCGGGACGGTGATCACTCGCTTACCCCCTGCGGCCTACAACGCCTTACGGACGGTCTTCCGTGCCGCCATGACGCAGTACCCACTGGCTCAAGGGAATACGCTACTGGACACTTGCTATGACTTCAGTAACCTGGAGAGCATAACATATCCGGTGATCAAGCTTCGGTACACGGATCTCGAGGTCCCGCTCACGGCGACAGGGGTGTTCTTCGTCATTAGCTCCGCACAGGTTTGCCTGGCATTCGCTGGGAACTCGGATTCCACCGAGATCGGCATCATCGGCAACGTTCAGCAAAGGGCGTTCGAGGTGACCTACGACAATATTCAGAAAAGGATCGGGTTCGCAGTTGGGACTTGCAGCTGATTCGTTGGGGAGCGCCGAGGGAGTGCCCGAAGTCTGAAAAAAAGTCCAGAGCGTTCTTTCTGATGCACGGAAATTATGTGACTCTGTGGCTTTTTCTTGTAATTGTGCTCTTTGCGTAAGGGGTATATTTGAATAAGTTGGTTTTATTACATATTATGTGTGATTGATGACTAATTTCTCAGCTTTATCATTGATTGAATGACATCTATATTAGGGGTATATTAGGTCACAGGTCGGCAGAGGAGGCAATATCAGCTGAGAGAAAGCCATTGCTCTTGACAGGAACCTTAAGAAAAAAAAGTGACAACTTTCAATAAATGATTTAATTTTAGAATACCATTTTAAATTTGAAATTAGTCAAAAAGATATTTTCTTGAAATTTCATTGATGTTATTTTTTTAAAAAAACTACTAATGTTATTTTCACAATTTATTATTCATTTTTTCTTGAAATTTTTCTTATATATGATCATTAAACCTTTTAATTTATCGATTCATTCAAAAAAAATGTAAATCCCCAAATATTACTTTATGTATAAAATTCAACTTTTTGTAAAGAGAAATTTTCCACGAAAAATCAAAATGGAAAAAAATAGACAGGAGAAAGCTTAGGATCACATACACCATAAAATGTCATATCAAGTCATCTTAACTGAGGTTATATAACTAAAACCTCATAAGAACTAAAATTGGACTAAAAGAAAAAGTTCCAATACATCAGATTCCGTGTCATGTATGTTGCTTAGTGTTCCATGACATTCAATCTTCTGGGACAGTTCACTAGCAAAGTTGTCGTACACAGTTGTAGCCTCATCTAGACTATTAAAGGCCCTGAATTTATACCTATTTTTCAGGGGATCAATAAGCTCCACAGTCCACTTACTAGAGGTAGGTCACATTTATCTACCTCTTTACAGCCCTTGCTTCTTTTTGTTGATTCTTCAATTATTTTTGTTGTTTGTACTTGATTGTGTTCTTGATTATTTTCTAGGTTGAAACTTCAATAATGCAGAAAAAAATCAGTATACACTCATAAAGGATATATACATATCTCAAATGAATGAAATTAGAAAGGTTATCCTTTGCAATATTCTCCTTGATTTCCCTTCAAAAGAGGAATGTTTAATTAGCATGACATTTATGGAATGTGATTTGATGTTGAAATAATTGTAATAAATCTTCTGTCATAATTTCATGGATTATGTTAGAGTATAAGTATTTATCACACATTGCATTTGGTGAGACTTCTTACCCAAGTGTAACCTATTTCTTCTACAAATATTGTGGATCATATCCTCAAGGATTTTCGTTTATAAATATGATGATTTTATCACAGTATTCATGAAATTTTCTAAAATTTGGTTCCTTATTGGTAGCCATTCCTTTATGTTAATATCTTAGAAAGATTTCTGAAACTATTTGGAGATTTGGTTTTCTAATGAATTTGGAGACCTACACATATCAATGCACAAATGGATTTAATATGCCTATTGGTAGGTTGCTAATAATATTATTGCCATCCAAGTGTGTTTTAATGTTTTTAATAATGGGAAATTTTATTTTTATGTATCAAATTTGAATCTTTTTCAAATGCTTCTAAAAGACATTTGTAAGAGAAAAGAATTTCAGAAAATTTAATGAATGTTGTGACAAAATCATCACATTTATAAAGAAAAATAATTGATAATTTGATCCATGAGTTTTGACTAAGACAGGTTACACTTGGGGAAGAAATCTTACCAAATGCAGAATGTGATAAATACTTCAACTCTAGCAGAATCCATGAAATTTTCATAACAGATTTATTAGAACGATTTCACTATGAAATCACATTCGATAGATGTCAGGCCAATCCAAACATTTCTCCTAGGAAGGAAAATTAAGGAGTATATCACGAAGGATAGCCTCTCTTATTTCATTTGTTTGTGAGGCATGTATTTATGCTTCATGAATATCTAACGATTTTTGTCTGCACTATTGAAGTTTCAATATGGAGAATAATCAACAAACAACAGAAAAGTTGCAGAATCATCAACAAGAAGCAAGAGCTAGAAAGAGGTAATGCGACCTACCTTTGGTAAGTGGACAATGGAGCTTAGTGTTCCCCTGAAAAGTAGGTACCATTTCGGGTCTTCAATAGTCTAGATGAGGCTACTACTGCGTGCAACAACATTTCTAATGAACTGTCCCAAAAGATTGAATGCCCCAAAACATGAAGCAACATATGTGACATGGGCTTGGTGTAGTACCTCCCAGCACTAGGAGTCATCAAGAGCCATGGGAATAGTACAATTGTTGTTATTCTTTGTCATCACCTAAAGAATGTGTTCATGAGATGCACATGAGTCAAATGCATTGGAATTTTATTTTTTTTGAGTTCAATTTTAGTTCCTATGAGGTTTTAGTTATATAACCTCAGTTAAGATGAGTTGATATCATATTTTATTGTGCAATGCCATCCTAAGCTTCCACCATCTTCTTTAATATAAGTCTTTGACTGTGTCTTAATCTTAAGTATATGTATATATAAAGATAGAAAGAGAGATCACATTCTATCTATATTCTTTCCTATTCGATTTTTGTGCATAATTCCTCTTTACAAAAATGTTAAATTTTTATACATCATTATAATAAAGTAGTATTTCAGCCTTCCAAAACATTTTAAGTGAATCACTAAATTAACAATTTTAATTATCATACCCAAGCAAACTTTGAAAAGATCTTGAGTAATAAATTTTCTGAAAATAACATTACTAGTTTCTTTTTCAAAATACATAAGCCCTTTTAACAGAAAATTGCTAGGGCAAGTTCACTTTTGATGTTCAAATTCGTTGGTATCTTTATTCCCTTCGAAAAGAAATTAACCTCAATGAAATTTTAATAAAATATCTATTTGACTAGTTTAAACTTTCAAATGATATTCTAAGAGATTAAATCATTTATAGAAAGTTCTCGTTTTTTCTTAAGGAGTTTAAAAATAATGAAGAAGCCTTGGAAAATAGATCATCTACATATTTTCTTATTATGAAATCTAACTCAATATGCACAGAAGTATTGTGTTGTAAATAGTGTGCATTTGAAACTATATTGGGTGTCTCATATTGGCATATTACTTGTATTGACACTAATCTCATTTAAAATTGCATGGATATTAGTTTTTATATATTTTTCATCTAGAAATTACTTTTGTACTGTATCAAATGGGTAAGCCAGAATGATAGATACTTCCAATTAGTTGTTAAGATTAGGGCCATTATGTTGCATATCAATTTTTACAATTAATAATCTTGGTACATAATTTGAAGGAAGCAATTTTCTATATTTTTTCATTTTAAAGAAAGAAATCTTATCCAAATTTTATTAAACCCCAATAAAATTCTATGCATAATCATCACATTAAATTTATCAGGATGCAACCATAGTTGTAAGAAAGACCATTGGTTTAGGTATTTTGATGCTGAAAAATAATGATTTAGGAAACATTAATCATAAATATGCCACTAGTGTACTAATTTTCAAATGAGGATCTAAATTATTAGATGTAGTTCAATGATGGATACATTATGTCATTTAGGCTAAATATAGTGTAAAAAACATAAAGAAAGATATATGATAGAAAAAGGAAAATAAAAAAATTAAAAATTTTCAGAAAGAAAAATAGAGAGAGTATTGATCCATTTAGAAACGTAGAAACAAGCTAATAAAAAATTGAGCAAAAAAATGATGACCCAGCTAGAAGTCAATCAAAACCAAGGAGAGAGAAGTGAATCTACTTCACATACCCAGGATGTTGAAAAAAAACCTCTGATGATTTGGACATCAAACTAATTTCACAAGCTTGAATGTTAATGCCCATTTCAACCCCATGACATGAATGTCACTTGACAAGTTTTTGTGAGTGAACATTCTTTGGTGAACTTCGAAGGAAAAATTCAAGGAAAAAAGCTTTTAGGAGGAAATTTTTACGAGTCTCTCCAAGAAAGTCATTGTGATGAAACTCTTTGATGAGTTTATCAGATGGAAACCATTTGACATTTTACGAGGTATGTCTCTTTTTGAACTTTAAAAGTTGAATGCATGTCAACCTTTCCTCGTTCTAGTTGATGAGGAGCAATGTTTATGTTAGTTCAAGAGTTGCAAGTAGTATGAAACTCATTTAATCCATTTTTGGTATCCACCAATTAAGACACAAAAGGTCAAGTTTGATATTTCTGTAAGATGTTAGTTCAAGAGTTCCAAGGACCTTTAGATGTCTTCAGAGAATTTTCCATTTGATATATTTGCGGGGTTTGGGCCATTTGACCAATATGTAAGGGTGAAATCTGTGTGTGAACATAAGGAGTTGATGGACGCCATTCACCATTGCTATGGAAACTCTATAGGATGCAGGGGTGTGTGGCATTATTTTATCCTTCTACAGTTATATTAGGTTACTGAGCAGACGTCAAACATAACTACTTATTGGCACCATATGTGAGCATCTTCAGCACCATATCTAATAAATTTGACATTTCCATCACTTACCTTTTGAAATATAACATAGGAGGTTTGAATTCTTATTTTCTCTTAGATTTGATTATCTTATCTCATCTATAGAGTTGTTGTAAAATTGTCACACATTTCTAGTGTTGAACTAGCACAATCACTTATGGGATGATGAAAGGGAGAGAGAGAGAGAGAGAGAGTAAAATAGTGAAAGAAAAGGTGATAGTCTATCATCGTTGGATATAGACAACGAAGTTAATCTCAACAACGAACTCCCGAAGGGACATTATGATACATCTCAAGCAGAAGGCTTCATAAAGTACATTAATCCACATCAACCTACATATAGCCAAATCAAATTGATGATTGAAATAAGGTGACACATTGAGGCATACAATCACAAGTCAATACCATAATTATTTAAACATAACAAAGAAAATTATATTTGCAAAAATAATAAGAAAGGTAGATTCTCTTCTTTCATTTGTGAGCTCTACATATTTGATGCCTAGCTATATTTAGGAAGTAACTACGAAGATAAAAAAAAATCTATTTTAGCATATTCCTCAAAAATTATGAATATCTTACTTGCATGACAACTTGAAGCAATCATGGTAGATCTTTGATCAAGCACCAAACTTATACAATCAATACTAAATATTCAATTTCTCTTGACTATCCACCAAAAAATTGAAACTCAGAAGCTGAATACACCCACCTTCTTGTGCAAAATAAAAAATATGAGTAAAATATTAGCCAAAGAATACTGGCCACCAAGAGGACTTGAAATTTTGTGAAATAGAATATTATAATAGAAGAGTATCTTTTTCAAATGAAAGGGAGAGTAAAATGAAATCAGGTTAATTTTCCTCGAAAAATTTCTTGGCCAAGAAAATAGATAGGGATGTTCAGAGAAAACTCAATTATTTGAAATTTTCAAGCCAAAACTCATTGAAATTTCATGACAACTTTTCAGAACATACAAAATATTAAATACAGTACACCAAAAATAGGCACCAATAAAAACATAACCAATACATTCTAATGGTTAGGAAAAAAATTAAATTTTAAATAGATCAATCCACAAGCTAGTATAAATATCACATACTAATTACCAATGATTTCCTTGTTATTTAAACAAAAAAAAGAAAACTGAATGACAGATAAAAATCCGAGATAATTTTTCTTCAGATATTGAACATGAGTTTATGACAATACAATCTGTCGTAGTTCATGAAGAAAAATGAACTAATCAATGCTTATGAAAGTAAAGTATACCCATTAAACTTATAGGAGATTTACAATGGAAATACATTATGTATTGAAATATAGAAAATTCCAAGCGTAAAGGAGGACAATATGCACACATATTTATATTGGGAAAACACTGCAAGTATTTTTTTAAGGTTTGGAACCCCATATGTTTTGAAGCTGGCAAAAAACACCAAAGCATAATGAGGTCATTTTACATTATTTTAGACATTATGATTTCACGAAAAAATACAATAAGTATTGCTTAATAACAACAAAAAAGTGCCATATAAAAGTATAAGATTCGTTGGATATGTCTTGTGGTTAGTGAGTTGACTCTCTAGACTCACCTGCACGGAAGCAAGAAGAAAATATGGAAGAAAAAAATTGAAGGGCAATATGATGCTGTGTTCCATCCTTATTATAGTGATTTAGCCATACAACATGGTGCCTAAACCCAACGTGAAATATTGGAGATCCTCACTAAATGTAATATTGTGTGCTTGGGACAGTCTCTACAAATCACAAAAGCCACCATGCCTAAAAAAATTAGGCTAAACTAACAAACAAAGAGTAAGTCATCACAAGGGTAGCTCCATAGCTGTTGCTATGTTCCCATATGATTGACAATGGTCATCCTCCATGATGCGAATCAGCCTCAACAAGAAGTTTCACAGAAAATGGACTCACACACTTCTAGGATTTAAAATGTTTAAATAGAAAATGTTTCTTAATCTCTCATTGAGAAACTGTAGTGTAGTTAACATCTAAGATTTGAATTATTTTAATAAAAGAAACTTCTAATTCTACATCATGATTCTTTAAACTATTTTATCATTAAATAACCATAGTATAAGATTTCACTTTTATGATTAAAATGTTGAGTATGCAAGGTGAAGAAGGAATGAAGAATGGGATTAGAAATGTTGAGTATACATAATTCTAAAAATTCATTCAAAGAAAGCTATTTTGTGAAATAAGGTCCATCAAACTTGTACCACTAAAATACCAAAACCTTACTACTATAATAGTTTCTATTAGGTAGATGGTCACTTTCAAATAGTATTCATATGAGAAAGAGTTTGATGTAAAAATAAGGGACATGGTGGACTTAATGTGAACTGATTAAAAGGATCAAGGTATGCAGTTAGAATTTATGGTAATATGGTCATTTCACATCACAAAAAAGTTGAATATGATGACCCATGACTATGCCTAAATTTATTTAGATGCTATCTATGTTTTAGAGAATTTTTTATATATCTTACACCTATTTTATTTGCAAGATTTTTTCTTCTTTCTAATAGATAAAGAGTTGGCACATGAGTCAACCCATTGATTGTCCTAGAGGAAAGATAAAGTAGTTAAGAATGACAGTAAATGTCAAATTAAGGAAAACGAAAAAAAAAAGGTTTCTTCATTTTGTTGACCATTTTATGACTATTGTAAATCCATACCATATAAGTAAAATCAATAACATATTGAGAATTCTCTCCC